CACTTCCTCTCTTTCTCATCTATTTACACTCGGATAAAGTATGCACGTGTACACACGCACACACGCACACTTGAACATGTGCACAAACTCACGAATATGTCCTCTGAAAGAACGCGCCCCAACCAGCTACGGCCTGTGTCATGTCGTGATTTGCAAGACGGTCGACGCTTTGAGTTTCCGCCAAAACGGGGCTCTTCCTGCACACAAGCCGACGCAGGCGAAGCTGGACAGTTGACGAAAAAGGTGTGCATGTGGCGCCACGGAAACTCTTTACCCTTTCGCGGAAACCGCCTTTATCTGCAGCTCATTTTCCTCCGGCAACTGAATAGTTTACAATTGTCGAGCTTACTTCCATTTCGAGTGAAAGTGGTTGATGAAGATATTCCAGTGCAGCCAAATCGGCTGTCGTCGTCTGGTGGAATTAAGCTCAACAAGTATGAAATAAACGACTCCTCGAAACCCAACTTCTATGTGAATAGTTCACTTTTCTCCAGGTCGCTATAGCGACAACAATAATGACCTACATGAGCTCAGGTTAAAATCAACGAAAACAAAGTGTCAAATTTCAGCTCCTTCGTTGAACCTCGAAGGACTATTTGATCAGACAATTACAAAATCAGTTCCTTCCATATCTCATTTTGACTGTTGAAATATGCACAATTATTGCCATTTTGACGCCTCACTTCTACCGGCCGGGAATTGTGCTCGAACAGAGTGTTGAAGGACTACAAGTTGACTTTCTCCTCCTCCACAATTTCATTGGGTTTCAGATAGTAAAAGAGCAAGCTACACTTTGACCTCACCTGAGCCTCATCAACGCCTCCAAGGGGATTCGAGCCCGGTTCACATGCATCCTGGCAACACTTTCTATTTTCGGCAATCATAATCAGCCTCAAGTATTCATGAATTCAAAGGCAGATGTGGCTTTTAACAAACCATGTACGTGACATTACAATCGACGAGAATACTTGTATTTCGTGGGCATATTTTGGAATTACCAATATTTCCTGAATACACACTACTTAAATCGTCATCAGCGACTTTGAATGTTGGCCAGTCATTTGTGACATTGGCCAGGCTCAGCTCAGCAATACAATCAACAGCATTACATATTTTTTCGTATAAATGTAGAATTTCGAGGCCACATACATCCTTACCTACATTTCGTTTACGAGAATATTTTCGAGACCAACAGTAGATCATATTGATGAGATGTATTCGGTCTATTTTATTTAAGGTGAAACTGGGATTGGTAGTTGAAGTTTCCCAAAATTTTATGAGTAGGCCTTACATTTCCATTTAATCCTACAAATCCTCTCCTTCCAAAAAGGTATTTTTATCTAGGCTGTACTCGACTGCCGTTCCGACCATGCCTAGCGGGACTCGAACCATAATCTCGTGAATTTCAAGGAAGGTCAGGTCTTTTGCCATATCACATTCTTTGGTGCGATTGTCGATGAAGCAAATGTATATTTGCTATAACAATCGACTACGTTACTTATTTTTCGTATGTAAGTAGAGTTTCGAGACTACCGGTCTGTCAATAATATTGGATGTAAACAACTTTTGGGAAAGCAATGCTGTGTGGAATTGAATGGGAACGTCAGCTCTCCTCATAGCATTATGGGCAAATTGTGCTACAGTCCTTTATCAGCTTAAACGAAATTGGGTGAATACATCTCATACTACTGATTTACTGATAGTCTCGAAAACAATACTTAATTCGAAAAATAAATTATAGTAGTCGATTGGTATAGCAGATATACGTTTGCTTCATGAACGTCAGCTCAACTCATATCATTGTAGAAAAATTCTTCTTCTACCAGTCCTTCATCACCTTAATCGAAATTGGGTGAATACATCTCATACTACTGATTTACTGATAGTCTCTAGACTCTACTTACATACAGAAAATATGTCACAAATGACTGGCCAACATCAAAACTGCCTCGGTCGACATTAAATAAATTCAATTATTACATCATCACCTTACACCAACTAAGGTGAATACTTCGCATATAACACTAATTATATATCGCGTATGTTCATCGAAACTATCAGTAATTCTTAAATAATAATTTTATAATGTTAGGCATAGAGGATAAAATAGTGTTGCTATTAGTTTGGTCCCAGTTTCCTTTCGTTGACCTGGATTCCGCAGTTTGTTCTTTTATTTTCTGATTAAGTATTCTTTTCGTGACTAGCAGTAAATCAGTAGTATGACATGTATTCACCCAATTTCGTTTAAGGTAATGCAGGACTGGTAGTTCAACTTTTGGGAAGGCAAGGCAATGTGAAATGGAATGGAAACATCAGCTCTACTCATATGATTGTGAGAAAATTCTTCTTCTACCGGTCCTTCATCACCTTAAACGAAATTGGGTGAATAAATCTTGTATTTTCTGAAACGACTTCTATACTAAAGGCCACACCATCTTGGTCTTCATACCTCACATTAAACTATGCACCGATTACAGCCGAACAAAGAAGCGAATTTTTGTAGCTAAGACTTGCATGGCTCACTTGCGATGCCGACAAAACGTCTGTAAATGCTCCGAATCTACTGTTCGTCTCTGGAAAGCATCATGTCTACTATGAACTTCGGACTAGGTGCCTTCCTTTAGGTCGCCTTGACAATAGTACCAAATTGCGAAAACAAAGAAAACAATTTCAATCACTTTGTAAATGGACTTTATTGAAGGGCTGATAATCGCATTATAAAAATGTGGGATGGGAGACGCCCTATGGCCCCCGATGGCAGGATGCTGCCTACTCATGAGAATTGTGAGAGCAAGATCCACCATCACTTCATATTTGCCTTGAGCTATCTTGACTGAATAAATTCATATGCAAGAGTGACTGATCCTGTTGAAACATATTCAAACAAAATGTATGCTTTATCAGCTCACATACGAAAGCATATCTTGCTCATAGAAGTCATTTCATTTTGAGC